TATATATATATATATATATATATATATATATATACGTTCCTTTCAAGCATTTCTATTAGTAATGTAATATCCTTGGAATAACAATGAGGGTGATCCAATAAAGTTAACTTTGAGCATTCTTTTATGACACAGATCTTCAAAAGGATTGCAGAAATTAAGTTTGTGAGGAACATCGCATTAGAATGACTCAAGCAAAGAAGTAAAGGTGTGTCCCAATATTCTAGAGTATTGCTAACAGTGTGAAAATCACTCTATGAGGTCAAAAATGTCGAAGAATTATAAATGCCATTTCATTTCTAGCATAAACGAAAATGTGTATAATAAACATCTTTCCTGCCGGTCGATACCCAGTGCAACCAAATACATGCTCAATAGGCAGTACAACAGACACAACCCAATGGTCGGGACACGCTGATATTCATCACCCAAATCAACGTTTTCCACGATATATGCGTGTTTTCTCAAAAGCTCTGCAGTGGTATGGCTACGCTTGGGAGCCATCATAAACTAGAATAAACCGACATAGTTGCTATTGAGTTTAAATCAAGGTTTTTTAGCATAGCGATCATCTGAATATTTAATAATTCAAGGATATTGCATGGTAAGTAAAATTATTATAATAACATGTTAAATCAATTCGGTTGATACGAAACCTGTATCGAAACAGGTAGTGGCCTGTTATTACCAAGAAAACGTAAGTTCATTGATTACATTGTCTATTTATTATTTCATTGTTTCGCTAGGTAATTCAAAGTAGAATATGCTAATAATGATGCGCGATGTTCGTTAATTATGTAATAACGAAATATTTAAATTCTCATTTCAACACTCGCAGTCATTCTTGCTGTCGTTTTATTTCCATTCTACATACCACTTTGTATTTTGCAACAGGTGGATCGATAAGGAGCTTCATATTTACATTGATAGATGGCTATGGAATTAATAAATAGATGTGTGATTTTAATGCAACTCATACTACACTTATTGAATGGGAGATATCTCGTACATGAATAACCAGTCAAATACCCTACATGATAATAACCAGAAAATTTCAGTTATTTTATAATAACTGAGAATCACGGTGAAATTGTAAACAAATGAAGTCTGCAGGGTTTGAATCTTAGGTATCAGGGGCGTATTTATGCTGTCTTCATAAAAGTTTTTTTTGAAAATTCAGACGCAAATCATATCTAAGATAAAAATCAAAATCCTCCTTTAAGACTTTAGCTTAAGCATCATACCGTATTGAAAATTTTTGAAAGAGCGGAATATAAAGTGTGATGAAAGAGATTGGTGCAGTTCAACCTATAACGTCATACCGAATGCATTTGGCGATTTAAACTCAGTTGGACAATGTTCTATTGAACTCTATAATCCCAAAGGGGGGTGCGTGATAGACTTACCTCCACGTGGTGCACCCTGGGCAACGTATATTTAGACTTACCTCCACGTGGTGCACCCTGGGCACCGTATACTCATACGGCAAAAAAGTCTATTAACCGGCAGTTGTTGCGATAGACTTACCTCCACGCGGTGCACCCTGGGCAACCCACTCATACGGCAAAAAAGTCTATTAACCGGCAGTTGACTTATCACTTCCATACGGCTACCTCCACGTGGTGCACCCTGGGCAACGTGTACTTACAACCTCCATGTGGTGCACCCTGGGCAACGTATACTTATGCGGAAAAAAGTCTATCAATCGGTCGTATACTCATACGGCAAAAAAGTCTATTAACTGGGATTGACTTCTGGCGCAGTACTCATCTAACCTTTACTCTGCTTCATGTCTGGTCTTTTTCTGTTCCCCACCCCTCGACTTTCTGTTACTTTGATGTTCACCCCCTGTGAAGCCCGAAGTCAACTAAAGGGCTAATGATAACTACCAATCTCGACTTTTTGCCATTTTGATGTTCCTCCTCCTCTCTAAAGCCCGAAATCAGCTAAAGGGCTAATGATAACTATCAAATCGCCTGCCATTTGAAATAAATAAATAAATAATCCCAAAGGTAAGCTATTCAAGGAAAGCGAAATTAATTATAATTGACTTCTATTTTTCACATCTCCCAATCCCATTAATTAAATACTCAATGATACTAGCTCTCGCTTAAATACCTTTTTTATCCAAATGAATAATAACTTCCAAAATAAACCTAAACGAATATAAAGAAATATATTGCAATCAATTAAGAATTGTTGAGATCAATGATAGCTTATCAAATAACTTTAATATTCCTATCACCAAGACCTTATTAAATTTTTAAAATTGAATGATACATTAATTTAAACTGTTTATGCGCATAACTAACTGTATACACAATTGAAAAGACCTCTATAATTTTGATTTAATCACATCAGTGATATAGCGTTAAATTGAGGGCGCTCCATGCGATCTTCATCAAAGCGTAATTTCGAGGGTGCCTAGTTGTTTTGTTTCTTTTTTGTGCACGTTTCAATGACAAGTGGAACGATTTCAAAGCCAATTGCCAGAGAAGATGAATTTGCTTATCTTTGTTCTATTATCGGAAAAGTAATCTTGAACCTTTTGTCGCTTAGTTCTTTGCCCCAAATAATTTTGTTATTATAAATTCAATCTTTTAGCTAATAAATGTAAAGTGGGCAAAATTACTGTATTCTAATTTGTATTTCTTTGTTTTAGAATGTTCCAGCATCTTCGTGTGTAGTACTCTCTGGTCCTTCGGGTTGTGGGAAAACCTGTCTTTCTCTCTCGGTTCTTCTTCATCTTTCTGAAGATAATAAAAGCTTTCGGTTTATCGACGTTAGCTGTTTAGAAGTTTGCTCTTCCAAATCAACCGGTTCAACTCTTTCTTCTGGCAATATTATGCTCTTTGATCTCATTCTTTATGAGCTCAAGAAACAATTTCTTCCTAGTTGTCTTCAATTCGACTACAAGTGTGACAGTGCTGCCGCATTTATTGAAAATTCTGCTGATTTGTTTCACAAAATAGCTGTCACTGAAGAGCAAGGTAATTTTTACTTTCTTTCTACTAGGATGCATTTAAGTAGGCTGTTCTTTATGAATATTTTCGCTTAGGCACATTTTGCATCACTCTACATCAAGCCGAACAGTTGCGCGATATGCCCGACAATATTCTTCCCATCATAGTGAATCTGGATGCTCTGGTTCGTGATCATATGCGGATACATTATCCTCATACCAGGCCTCCAAATATTGTTACTCTATTGCTAACTACATGCACCTGGGATAAATTCTACTCTGGTACTTTCACTTCTGAGCCCACTTGCCTTTATCTAAAGGCCTACAATCGTGAAGAACTGACTAAGATTCTTATTGGTACTTCACCGATTGAGTCTCCACGTTATGGGAGATTTATTGATATTCTCTTAACGGTGTGCCTTCCTGTTACTCGAAATATCAAGGAACTCCTTTTTCTTGCTCATGTAAGCATTCGTGCTAGTATCATTAATCATCAAGAAAATAATTTGACTCAATTGTTCATGGGCAAATTGTCGATGCAGCTAATTCCTTTTCGATCATGTGATGTGTCCTATGTCCAATATCATTCTTTGTGGAGTATTACAGCTAATCAGTAATTTGGAAATCCGTGACAGTCTGTGTTGAGCTCTTTAAATTTAGTTAAACTAAGCTGTTCACCACATATATCATGAATTAACTGCAAGTCGTTAGCACCAGAAAGACAATGTCATTATTCAAATGTTTGGGCCAATAAATCGCCCAATGACAAAGCAAATATACGTTAGCATGTGTTAGATAACTTCGGAGTGTAAGATGGCGATCGGAAACGTTAATACGCAGGCAGGAACGAAGAGACGTGGATATTTAGATAACATGGTACCATAATCTTTGGTAATCCCCAAAATAAGGAAATAAATATTTTGGAAATTTTGATTCTTAACACTTATTTATCATATACACATTAAAGCCTATTTGCTCCCTCTATTTCTCGCTGTTTACTTGTTTTTATTTAACATGAAATAGTCGACCATGGAATAAGAGCGTTCGGTTAATAAGTCTTGTTAATTCGACTTTTATCATTTCGAATTCATTTTCACTAGGTACGTGAACGTCCAAGTAAGCAATCGTTTTTACTGCGATTAGAGTTTGTTGAAAGGCGTGAAACATCTTCGTTACATCAAAGTCTTTTCACACTTTCTGTTTAGTTCAATTGGAAAGCCTTCGATGATCCCGTAGTCAAAGGCTTAGTTGATCCAGATGATGAATGGGGTCAGTACCGATATGCCTTGCCAACACTCAAACGCTCTCTATCGACTATCTATCTACGACCTGAGCACGAACCTAATGAAAATTTTGACACAGCTGTGCAACAGAAGGGATCAGCTATGCATCAACTCCTTGAGTTGCCTCTTTATTCACGTTACCTTCTTGTTGCCTCTTACATTGCTTCCTACAATCCCAAAGCAGCAGATAAGCGTTTTCTCGTGAAGGTAATTGGATATTTTCTTTTTTTGTCAAATTTTAACTACCTTTGTACGTTGCTACTTTTATTGTCTTAGCTAAGATTTAATATTGAGCTTGTCTGAAATGCCACTTTTTATCGTAGAAAGATTTATCAAAATAGATAATCTTCAAATTTTTTTGTGTAGAGTTCTGAATGCTTTTAATCACGACTCCTCGATGCTACTAAAGATCAGAAAAGCTGATCACACCTGATCGTATTGAACCTTATGGAATTTTCAAAACTTGTATAGTGTTGTCATGTTTAGTGATTCGTAGCGAGATACCAGGGCTGTGGCTGAGTTAAAACCTAGTTTTGAAGCTAGGAAGATGACAGAAGGAACATCTTTACCCAATTTATTTTAACTATGCCGTTACTGACCCATTTGACTGTTCATTAAAGTTAAATCACTTCTGGATCGATGATTGTCTTGCTCATCTGTTATTTCTAGACAAACTGGCAAGTGGAGTTGCATAGTTATTGTAAATAAAAGAATTACATACGGTCGTGAGATGCGCATTGTCTATTCTTAGAGGAAGTGTTGACATTCTAAATGAATAATGGATTATATGCTAGTTATGTGGATGCCTGATAAGTAGCCACTACCACTTCCACTCTACTTCCACGAAAGATGGAGAAATATTTTTTTATTTTGTCTGTTCTCTATGTTTAATTTTAGAACACGGGCAAGCTTTCCTCTCGTGGCAAACATTCTGACAAGCGGGTGGAATATGTAAGTTCGAACTTTTTTTGGCTTTCCTTTTGGCGCAAATGTCTCCATAGGAGATTTTGATTGGTTCTAGGTGGTAAGGTGAGGCTACAATTATATCTTCCTTAATAGAGTACAGCGCATGATTTCATGTTTTCCTGCTGCAGAATAAATTCTCATGATTACTAAGAGCAGGCAATCTTGAGTCATACAGATGAGTTACTCCTTTTTCCCCGTCTTAATGATCAGAATTAACCAGGATTTTTTTGAAGAAAAAAGAGTAAGCATCCCAATTCTTGTTTTCTTTCGAGTTCAGCTCTCTTCACGTTCTTAACTCGCTTTATCATGACCGGACGCTCCATCTGGTTGCATTGTGATCAAAGTGAAAGTTTGTCGAGTTTTGCTTTGTTTTCGGTTGACAAAAGAGGTAACATAATGGTAGGCCCCCAGTAGGGAGACAAGAGGATATTATTCCTCTACCCAACTGAAGTGCTGTGAATACTTATCTTAATGAGCTTGGGACACTTTTTAATCCAGAGCTGACTCATTAAAATCTACGACGAAGTGAAAAGAGTGGAATATATAAATGTTGTATATTAATTATCGCTACGAATTTAATCACAAATGTGACTCTTGGTGTCTATTTCTGTTTTTAGCGTAAATAAAAGTAAAATTGCATGATTTATTTTCACCAGTCGTGTACAGCGTATTTCATTTCAATTTCCTGAACTGACAAAGTTGATGGTACTGCCCTTCTCACCAGAGATATGATAAGCTTTTGCATTATAATTACTTGAGGATTTTCAAACATATCATTTCCTGGTTGATGCAAAAAAGTATTTTGTTAAAAGGTGAAAAAAATCAGCGCAATATTTCTGCTCTGAAATCTTGAGGTGATAAAGGGCAAGGTCTAACAACTGGATCTGAACATATTAAAAAATGCCTCATTCTGCATGAGATAAAGGAAATTATATTTCAGTATTGTTGAAACCCTAAGTAGGTCACAAATTATCGAGATATAAATTTGGCTGTTAATGAATAGACTCATAAGGCAACTTCTGTTAATCAGTCTTTGTTTGCTTTCGATTTCTTTAGATTTTGTGGAAATTATTTGCCATCTTTGTATTAGTTTGGCGGTATGGAGCTGTGTCAACATTAGGGAAGATTTTATTTATAAGTAAATAATTGTAATTGTATACGTGATAATGGGTCAAAAATTTGTTCATTTTACCAGTGATATATGGAAGAACTAGAACTTTGGCATCAACCGTGATATAAAATCTTGTCAATTCGAGATTTCGCTTAAAATATAATGTGACACTTTAGTCCTGTATCATCATATGGCCCTTCTTTCAATAAACTTTTAAAATTAGGAACGCTATTTTATGAATATTTTTTTCGTTAATAATTATACCAAGACAAATTACCATCTCCACGGGCCACGTCTTTTTTCACTGGATCGTCTCGTTGCCATCTTCTATGCTTTGCTGAATCTCGAAAGCGGTGATGATGAGAGTGATCGATTGCCTCCACTGAGCAGCAAGTTGATCGGTTCTGTGGGCACCCTGTGTGGACTGGGCCTCTTGGCTCCAGCATCCAGTGCTCTAGCAGCCGGTTGTGGTTCTTCTGGTGCCAGTGGAAATACAGCATTGTTGGAAGCGTCCGTGTTTGGAAGCAGTGGGTATAATGATGATCCTCTTTTCAACCCAAGATATCGATGCTTGGTCAATCTAGAGACGGCTAAAGTTATTTCCAGGTCCATTGATATTGATATTAGCAGATATCTTCTCGATTTTGTGTGAATAAGTGTTTTTTTATATTCATATAACTCTTTGAACTTGATCGAAAATTATTTTTGTTAAATAAAAACTTAAAATACTTACCGTCTTGTGAACTTTTAGCTGCATTTCTTTCAGGTTGTAGTGAGTTTCTTCCTGGGTAAGAACGAACTTTCATTATATTTAATTTTATATAGATTGGGGGGGGGGGGGGGAGATTTTTACTAAAAGTGAATTTTCATTGAGTTCAATATGAGAATTCTTCTAGAGATTTCAATATGGCTTTTGTGGATTGTAAAGCTTTGTTTACTCTGAAATCATTCCTTCCCTAGCTTGGCTGAACAATTTGCTCCTTGGTAACATCCCGTTCTTTTAGTTTTCGTCTTGTTAAAAGCTTATAGGGGGAGAGATTAAATATGAAAAGGCGATTCATCATCAATTTAAGGGATATATGTTTTCAAGTATACAATTATCTCGAACTTTCATGGTATAAAGCTTTTTTTGAAAACGTTAGCATTTTTATACTTCGACAATTAGCCCCTCATACGAGTCATATTGGAACATAAATAGGAAATATTAATAATAAATTTCTACTTCCTTTGTAAATGACTCGATGAATGTTAAATGTGATTGCCATCTTTGATACTAGTTTAGTAGTATCTTCGTGCTGTAATTCCATCCCCTGTTACAACAACTTATTGTAATGGAGTCTACGTTACCTGTCACCACAAGTGAAACACTAAAAATATTTTAAAGGAACATTATGTTACTTAACCTGCGGACCAGTAAAGTGAACATGTTTATTAGTATTACTACAAGTGATTGATATAATAGAAATGATTCATGAATATTAGCAAATGGTAGGCTTCCGATTTGAAATTCGCAAATTTGGATTATTCTATTTAGTTAATCTATTGAAAAAATGCTAACACTAGAATTGTAGTCAATACTGAAACCAATTTTAAATTCAATAGAATTTATTCCCCCCTTTAATTATCCATAATTTAATTATTTAAAGCTCTTCCCAGTGCTGACTTAATTTAATTAAATATTCCGTCTAATCGATAAAATTCAGACTGAACGTAACAATCAAAATGGGTTAAAAATAAAGTAAAATATCGAATGCCCAATAAATTTCATTCAAAATTTTGGGAAAAATGGATAAAATGAATATTTTTTGTTCAGGAAATAAATATTGTCTAAAATTATCATTTAATCATAAGTCTTAGCTGGGTTTTTGTATGTTTTATTACAATATCTTTATACTATTGACAGAAATAAAAAATCTCACGTCAAAGGTCCATCGGTTAACCTAACATCAGAGCTTTATTTATACTGCGGAGTGGGGGGGGGGGGTATTTAGACAATGAGCTCTGATTTATGATGTTGCGGTTTTTGTTTTCCACCTGAGTAGACGTACTTCTTAACCTTCCACGCACAATCGAGACAGTATAGGTTACTAACTAAGCTTCTAATATAGTGGCGCAACGTATTTGTTCAGTTGGAGTATAATCTAGATCAAGCCATGATGATGGGTTTAGATTAATTCACTTAGAGCATGCGGGATGGAAAATTATTTAATACTACAAGTTTAAGGAAGAAAGTACTTCAAGGAAATTTCATCTATAATATCTTTGTGCTTATTAAATAAGCTAATTGAAGCACATCATTATCTCTTATAGGGTGAGTTTTGGGAGACCCTTCAGGTTTCCATGTTCCTGTAATTTCAATCACTGGTTGTAGCAACAAAACCTCAGTCCTCATGCACTTTACAATTCCATTAAACTGGTTCTTCGGAAAGCGTTCTCTGAATGGATACTTACCGAGGAAAACCTTATGGAAAGGGCAGGATAGAATGATAAATAAGTTGACCAGGGAATGGTACACTCGTCTTTAGTAACACGGAAACGTTAGTTAACTAGATCTCCCTATTGTAGCTTTTCATTGGTTCACTCTGCGCCGCCGTGTACTTTCGTAGTAGAAAATTTGACAATCCCATGTTTTACGGCTAGTGGCTTAGTGGTGTGGAGGACAGCCCTAGTCTTGTCTCACAACAAAGTAGCACATACCTTCTGCTTCATTCAAATAATCTGTCAAAGGTTTGGGTATATGATAAAATGGAGAGATCAACTACCTTTAGTGCAAAATAAATTTTGAAATCAAACGTTACATGTAGCAAAGAGTAACGATAAGAGAATATTAATCCTTGTTTTCATTGCAATTTTCTGTTTTTTTTCACTTTTAGGATACATGTGACCCATGTGCTAGAAAATATGAGGTGACTGAAAAGTTCCCATTTATGATTTACGATCAACAGCAGGACCAA